CATCCTCACCTTTCCATCCTCACCTTTCCATCCTCACCTTTCCATCCTCACCTTTCCATCCTCACCTTTCCATCCTCCAATAACACTTCGTCACTCCTCAACTATGGCCCAGGAGACAGATCCACCGTCTTGAGCTAACGTCTTCGCCGAGGCTCGTTCTTGCGCAACAGAACAATCTCAAAGTCCCCCAGTGCATCAACACAAGACTTCAGCCAATTCATTTCAAGCTCGAAAGGAGCGAATACTAAACAGAAGAAATGCTCGTCCGCCTGCCGATGGAACGAGCTCAACGACAGCGACTCCCGCTTCCAATACCACATTGATGCACATGCCGAATGAGGTTCTCCGCACAATCGTCAAATACGTCCTCGACTGGGAGGACAGGCCTTCCATCAGTATCATGGCCCGCATAAAAAGTCTTCCTCCCGATGCCCAGGCAACGCCAAACAGCGAGCGCAAGAAGAACGTACGATCACTGCTCCTCGCCAACCGCAAGCTTCACGATGTGACTACGAGCATTGTTGCCCAAGATTCCATTTGGTTCGCTGCCGACGTTCGGGATCTTGAGTCCATCGTCAATCCTCTCTTTGACAATTCGCTTCTCGTCTCTCTCCAACAGATCCGCAAGCTTTTTATTGCACGGCCCTCTATCTCCCGTGGCTCGCCCTACAGACAGGCGATGGCAGAATTTGACTATGCGCGGTCTGTAGGGCGAGCGCTTCGGAGAATGCCCAACCTAGAGATATGCGTCGTCACGGAGATGGGGGATCCGTTCCCGGATGAGGAGGAATTACGCCAATAACAGGTCTCGCGAGCGCCAGTCTCCGGTAAATACAAGCAGCTCTTGGGCTGGTTTGGGATGCGCAAGAGCGTTGAGATGATCGACATGAACGACGTGGGAAACTGCATTTCCGAAGACCAGCGGATGCAGACGTGGATACCCATGTGTACTTGGAAAGAGGCGCGTGCTCACCTTTTAAAAGGGTGAGCTCGGGTGGAATTGGTCCGTCAGCTATTTTGCCACTCAATGATTTGCAATATATCTCCGCTAATAATCTTATTATTATTTTCCCTTTGCCTGCGGTCCTGGCTTGATTGCCTCTGTGATGGTCTGACGCCGTCTGATTGTCATCGCCTATTAGTTAACCTTGAGAGCGCATGTTGGCCTACCCTGCAACTGTTCAATAACGATCATTGAGGCCCGACTTCGTCGCTCAGGGAGATCACGATTGGACGTCCTGCCTAGAACGGCATGAAACTATCTTCAAGACTCCTGCATAGATTTCGTAATTTCTTGGGGGCGCGGTAAATAGTATTCCCGCAACTCCAGCGCCTCAATATATTACTCTAGGAAACGTTGTGGGTGTTGTTAGTTTTCCGACCCCATCCCAGTTCAATGATGATATCTACAGCAAAAATCTTCCTAAGATCCCCCTGTTTCAGACGCAGATATCTTTGAGTTCGCATCATCGCGGCCCGAGATCTTCGTACTTTTTGTTGGGCGGCCGTCGAACGAATATCCTTCTGTGGGGGAAGCAAACTGCAACCTGGCCTTGGTTCAGTAAACCTGGATCTCTGAGGTTTTGGATCGTGCATTATCCTAGACATTTCATCTCTCGTTAGGCCCTTCCAGCGAGTGATGCTTTTCGCGCTTTAGGGTGCGCAAGGGTCCGGACGCATTATTACCCGAGGCCCAAGCGTCTTAACTTTTGTGATATAGCACCAAGCATTGCCCAAGATTGACTTGGCGTAGGCTCAGTACTCCCTATGTATCGTCGCTGGTCGCGGACATAATCTCGCTGGTCTTGTGGATACACTCCTCCGATGAAGACACTGTATCACTCGTCGACCCAATGCATGAGAACCCGAAGAGAAAGGTGATCATGAGCAAAGCGAGGGCAAGACAACGCCACTGGCGGAATTGCTCTCGACCGAGTCTCATGCGACGGCAAGCTCAGGACGCTGACGGATGGACGCCATCATCAATAAAGGAAACAATTAAGGACGTTACTCGTGCCACGCCCTACCTCCCACCTTATTGGAGGTGGGGGGCGGCACGAGTAGTAGGAGCGTTGAGCCTTTGTGGTCACTTGGCAGCTGAAACTTGACCACAGATGTAAGCAGTGAGGCTGAACTGGGGATAGCACCATTGGCTAGAACGGTTCGGTCTAGAACGTTAGATTCGTTCGGCGTTCTCACTAGATATGCCGTGTAACGGTTACATTCTGGTCATTGTCTTTACTGGACTGGCTACTACTTGTGGAGTACGGAGGTCGAGTTCAAAAGTAATGCGTTGCCAAGAGCCCACCCACGTCTAGCGTCAGGCGCTAAGCTGGGCCCCCGGAATTTTTACACCTAATTTTGGTGTAAAGCTTACCCTCTTCTAACCCCTCTTTCGTAACGAAAAGACACATATTCTGGTATTTCCCTTGAACTTTAATGAAGCCGACCGCGATCATGCCGTACACTAATATTGCAACAAGAGGCATGGTTGTGGGCTTAAAAGCTATCGGCATGACTACTAAGGAAATAACCCCCCTTACAGGCCTGAACCCGAGCACCGTGAACCGTATCTACGGCAGGGCTTGTGAGGCTGGATTCGACCCTGCTGAACGCCCTCTCAAGATTCAAGATACCGAACTTGCTGACCAACCTCGAGCCGGCCGCCCATCTAAGCGATCCAAGAACGAAGAGCAAATCATGAATATTGTACGCCGCGATCGATACGGAAGAGAGAAGAGTTGTGCTGATATTGCCGGCGACCTTAGCCTGACCGGCATCGAGATTTCGGTAATGTCGATTTAGCGCGTGCTCCACGCTGCTGGCTTCCACAAGACCAAGCCGACGAGGAAGCCTGGTCTGACTGCTCGGATGAAGAAAGAACGCCTTGAGTGGTGCCTTGTAAGGTAGCATTGGACCTTAGAAGATTGGAAGTCTGTGATCTGGTCTGACGAGACGTCTGTGGTGTTGTTACATCGCCGCGGCGGCTATAGGATCTGGAGGACCGCTAAGGAGAAGGTGAACAAGACCTATATTCGTGAGCGATGGAAAGGTTCTTCAGAGTTCATGTTCTGGGGGAGCTTTTCATACGATAAGAAAGGCCCCTGCTATTGTTGGTGCCCGGAGATTGCTGCTGAAAAACGCCTTGCTGAGGAAGAGCTGGAGGCGATGAACAAAGAACTTGAGCCTGCCGCGAAGGAAGCTTGGGAGCTCTCGATGCCTATGGCCCGCCTTAACCTAAGAAGAAACACGCCCGGCAAGAAGCCTATTTGGCGGTGGAATAAGAAGACTAGGAAGCTCACGAGAGGCGGCAAAGGTGGTATCGATTGGTACCGCTATCGTAAGCATATTCTTGGGCCGAAGTTAATACCCTTTGCCCAAGAATGTGCCCTCGAGAGGCCGGCCACGCTGGTACAAGAAGATAAGGCTCTAGCTCACGCCCATCACATACAGCAGCAGTTGTATGATCTCGAAGGTGTGCAACGGCTTGAGTGGTGTGGTAACTCTCCCGACCTCAATATGATCGAACCGGCCTGGCCTTGGATGAAGAGATACACTACGAAGAAGGGCGCCCCGAAAACACGGTCTGATGCTATCGTGAGGTGGCAGAAGGCTTGGAACGACCTACCGCAGGCCGAGATTCAACGTTGGATTGAACGCGTTCCAAGGTATATCAATAAGATCATTGAGTTAGGGGGTGGAAACGAGTATGTCGAGGGGCGCAAGGATAAGCCATAGAAATTACACCAGAACTAGCTGGATTTATCGACGTGCAGGTTTAGTGCCTCTTAGCGCCAACGCATTACTTTTGAACTCGTCCTCCGTACTGGGAGGTTGATCAGCTTGCAAAACGGAAGTGGAATCAGTGTATTGCTACCAAACAAGCAAATCACAAGGGTTTTGTGCCAATAGCCTACGCCTGCGTACATACTACCGGGGTATTGCAGGCAGCAGGTTTATGCAATCTCTAAACGGAACTCCACGTGCGCTACGCCCTGACGTATGAATATCCTATCGCTTGATGCGGCAGGCAGCATGATTGCCTGCTTCACCGCCCCAAGTTCTCGCTTAGAAGCTGATAACCCGACGTAGCTGACTGAAGCAACGCATTGCTCGGCGGTGGCCGGGATCGTACGATGTCAATGTCGTAGATGATCATGTCCACGTTGAAACTGTCGTGAGACGACCGAGACTCGAGGTTTGGCATATTTGGACTGTCAATTTGGTCAATCTGACGAATAAACGAACAAGCCCATATATCAATTCCTCGAGAATACAACAACCTGGCACTGCCAATTGTGCGCACCACTGTGCTGGACGGAAGTCCAGTCCTTCGATGACCCTGTCATCTTTATCCACAGCATCTTGTCTTCTTATTGCCATCGCTACTACTTTCGTCTTCTCCCTCGCCGCTTGGTGGCTGCGGTAGCTGACTTGCATCGCCCTCTCCAGGTTTGATGGCCACTACAGCAAAGACTTGCTCGCCTTCTCGACCTGAAGGAGAGAAAAGTGCCATATTGGAAAATTCCTGGACGGTCTTACCTTCAACCAGCGTCAGCTCGACTCGCGCTTTGTCTGCTGCTGCATTGATTCCCTCTTTTGCAACCACGACTGCTTGCTCAGGGGTGCTGGTTGATTCGAAGCCGCGCCATTCAAGATCCCCTCTCCCCACGTCCTCGATGGTGAAATTCGTCAGCACCATCGTCGTGTCTGTCAGGACGGTGATGGTTCCGGAAACATTGCCCTGGAGGCCGATCAGTTGGCCGCCGTCGCCTGGCTCGTTGTTGATATCTTGAATGCCCACAGCTCGCCGCGTCAGCCGAGACAGCGAGGCAAACATGTTTCCTCTTCTGCGTGAGGTGATTAGCAAAACTCGCTATGCTGGACGGCATGATCGCGATGATAGTCACCAATTTGCGTTATAGAAGGTTGAGTCACTGTCGAATTTGGTAAAGGCCAAGGTCAACAAGGGTATTCGTAGAGTAGAAAGCTTTCTGCTGAGGCTTCCTCTACAGCCAGTCTAGACCTTAGTGTCTCTCTATATGCTCTTTATCTAACAGCATGGCAAGCCAAAGTTCAACTCAAAAGGACTCATAGAGGCTTTTGGCAGCCACAATGCTCCGCCAAGTGTCGCGTTAACATTGCAGTGGCGTGCATAGGGTGTTACGATGCCGAAACCATAATCACGCACCCAGACTATTGGCTCACTGCATAATGCACCCTCTGTCATGCCCCAATTAAAATGGAGATTCAAATCAGCCAGCCATATGCTCGGGGCAGGCAGCTACTTTGGGTGTTTCCGTCTCGCTAGTGCTAGTCTACGATCACTATCTGGATTGAACTGAAGGTAGAACATGAGGAGAGGCGCCGCCACCTCATATCAGCCTGAGGGTGTGCAAGTTCTTGGCACGACAACCGGCCGGCAGTTGTTATGTGCGACAGGTGCCTAAACTCGAATGCTTCTCAACCCGGCTTCGCTGCTCCAGCTTCCAGCATGTATATCTCCCAGCCGTCAACTGTTATTCTTACACCGAAGAGCCGAAACCTTGCAACACGAGCACAAATGAGAATTTCTTCGTCGGTGATCTCCCATCAGCAACTCAGGTTTCACAGGCGAATCCGAATTGCCAACAACTCAAGGAGAGCTTGTCGTCATGGCATCGGCATCAAAACAGCTAGAACAAGCTACCTTCCCGAAACGCCTGGAACTAGGGTCCCGCGGTAGCGTTGTCACTCTGGTTCAATCATGGCTTCTGCGACTCGGTGCAGCGGCAATTCCCGCTTCAGAAATAGCAGAGCGTCGATTTGGTGTGGGAACCTTCAAGGCCGTTCGAAACTTTGCAGGAACTGGAGTTGTCGATGATGCCACGGCTGTTGCCATGGCAGAGAAGGTTGATGGCCTCGATCCAGAGTCCACCACAACCCAAACGCTCACTGGAAAGGTCGTATATCTCGATGGATCCCCAGGAAAGGGTCTTTCCATACGGCTTTCACAGGTCAACATTCACCAAGACGTCCCTGGGGCGCTTAGTAGCGCTGTCGCGGATGATGAAGGGTTCTATCTGCTCAAATACCGTCTAAAAAAGGGTCATTTGGCGTTCTTCGCTCTACAAGTCGATGACAAGGGCAATGTCCTGTTCTCTACTCCCCCAGAGGGAGCTATCTCACCGTCCGACATTCCTGTACTGGTCCAGGACATCAAACTCGGAGTCAAACAAAAATCCACAGACCTATTCACAAGGCTACAGACCGCCATTTCAGCTATTCGGCGCGGAGGTGGATTGGCAAATAGCAAAGCGCCCCCGTTCTCCCACCTTGATCCGCTCAATAAGCGCAGAGAGTTGGCTATCGTTTCGCAACTAGCGGCATCTGACTTCTCGGCGGATGAAGTATCCTCCTATATGGTTGCCAACAGCCTATCGGAAGTGGCAGAACAAGATGGGATGCCAATTCCACCGGCCTTCTTCTACGCCTTGATCCATGGCGAGACATACGAGAAAGCTGTCGAGGCTAAGCCCCGCAATGCTGCTGGAGCTATCCGACCTACCACCATTGCCATCAGTCCGAGATCGATTCTCCAGAAGCTTCGCATGGCTGACGGTGAGACTCTTGAGCTCTGTGTCAAGCTTGCCATTGATTCCAATTTCATCCTGGCCTCCATCACCCAGCTACTGGCCGACATTATCGAAAGCTTTACTTTGCAAAGGCCAGGACTTGAGATGATTGAAGAAGATGTTGAGGGCTTCTGGGGTGTCATGAGAGAACTTTTCAAAGTCCCCAATGGCGAAGATAAAACACGGGCCGAATCACTATTGGACATCTTGCAGGAGGAGAACCTCGTTGGTCAAATGTTCTCACCCAAAGGATGGACCCAACGAATCATCACGCAAGTCCTGGGCGTACAAGGCCAAGGTGATAACAGCCAGAGGAATGAGCCAACACCCTCCACACCGATGCCAAAGATACTGTCTCCGAGTGCATCATTTCAGAAGGCCCTGCGAGAAGATCTCGATAGGTCAGAGAACGACTCAAAGCGACGTATCTCCGCTTTTGGTCGGCCAGCAGACAAGATTCTGAATGTCAGTGAGACAGAGAAGACAGGTTGGGCTCAACGGGCAGTGAAAACTCTGCTGTCTAAACCTCACTCGACAGATCATGGCATTACGGAGATCGAAGCCCGGAAGCTGCTTGATTTCCTCTCGAGTAATAGCAAATTCGATCTCGCGCATAGCAAGGTCGAGCACTTCCTCGCACAAGAGCCAGGTGGGCCACAGGCAACGCGTACCGGTTCCACCATCAACGACACGGAAACAGAGCAAGTTCTCAGAAAGATGCAGCGCGTATTCAGGCTGGCGCCTTCGTATGAACAGTCAATGGGCCTTGTCAACATCGGAGTCCGGTCTGCTGTTGATGCAAACTCAATGGGAAAGGCTCGTCTCAGAAAGCTTCTCTCATCAGACCCTGTCTTCACGTCGGCAGATGTGGAACAGATCGCCAACAGAGCCGCCGATGTTGTCCTGGCTGTCAGTTTGCTCATGGCTGAGATGAGAACACTGTCAAGCGCGTTGTCTATCCCAGGACTATCGACTCGCGTTCCAGAAGGCGTCCTAAGAGAAGCCGCCACCCACATGCCTAACCTGAAGTCGCTTTTTGAACTCGGCGACACATGCTCCTGCTCGGACTGTATGACCGTATATAGCCCAGCTGCATACATCGTTGAAGTTTTCGAGTTTCTCCGCCATCGACGCGTTCTTGTCGGCAAGGAAGAGGTAGACTTCACAGATTCCATCATCCAGTCTAGGAGGGATCTAGCGTTCCTGGATCTGAACTGCGACAACACCAATACTACTATGCCCCAGATTGACATCGTATGCGAGCTACTGGAGGATTTACTTGACTTCCAGGCCCTCTCTAGTCATGCCGTCTTCTCCATCCCGCTCGATGTGTTCGAGGAAAAGCCAATGTTAGCCGCACTCTCTTCTCACCTAGGGTTGGATTTCACCGAGAGCACGACTTCGATTAACTTCACTTCAACGTCGTCACCAGACACGGCCGTCGTCAGACATCAGCATCATGTGTTTCTCGTATTCCGGACGGAATTCTCCGTTGGTCTTGTCGTGAGAACCAAACAGACATTTGGAACCTCTGCTGAGCGAGCTGCATTTCCGTTGCACGTCAATCACCAAGCATACGAGCGTCTTGCTGAGAGCCCACTCCTTTTAGGTCTTCCATTCCACATCGATAATGCAGAAGGTCGTTTATACCTCAATAAGCTGGATGTCTCGAGGGCACGCTTGATCCGTCTCCTCACGCCCGTTTCAGAGAGCTTCAGCCACAGCTCATCTTATCTCGTCGAAGCATTTGATATGTCCGAACTTGATTTGCAGCTGATCACGACTCCGTCTGCGAATCCCATTCCCCACTGGCGAACGGCTACACTTCACGACCCCATCAACGACTTACGGAATGTGCAGAGCTTTCTTGACAGAACGCAGCTAACGTACAATCACCTGATCATCATGTTGCGAGCAAGGGACTGGCTGAATCCTGAACTCAACGGCATTCTGATCCATCACCAGGATGAAAGCTGCTCGCTTGACAAGAAGGACCTCGTGAACTTGGACAATCAAAGCCTCGATCGTGTACACCGCTTCCTCCGTCTTTGGAAGGCTCTTGGCATGAATGAGAAGCAAGGATGGACAATTTCGGTTATCGATCGCGCGATAGCCATGCCTTCGATCGGCAATGGCTCCCTTGATATCACCTTGCTGGCCCACCTGGCAACCACAAACAGACTTCTGAGCTGGCTACCCAAAGACGGCCACGTCAGTTCTGTTCAAGATTGCCTGGATTGGTTCGGACCGTTGGTGACGCATGCTAATGACCCGTCTATAAGGTCATACGAGTCGTTGTTCTTGTCTCAGCTGCCAAATCTTTCACCACCGCCAGGCTTTCCCAGGCGTCCCCAAGAGCAGTCAGATTTGAAGCTGGTTGATTTTGCCGATCACCTCTCCGGCTCTCTTTCCATATCCTATGATGACATGGCAACGATCGTCGGATTTGTGCACAAACCTGAGGATCTTCAACCTGCTACGTACGAGGCCATTTCACATGCGTATTCCGTCTACAGCATCTGCCAAACCCTTCCCATTTCTCCGTCAGAATTTGTTTCTCTCAGCATGCTCCTTGGAATAGATCCCACTTCTTCTCCTGAGGGTGCTCTCGTGTTTGCGAAGTCGCTCGCGGCGATTCGCACCTCTCTCTTCTCCATTGACGACATCACCCATCTTTTGGTGGCTGAAGCTCCACACCAACATATAACTGACTCACAGCTGGTCGATTACTTCGCGCTGCTCAAGTCAACTTACCAAAGCCTGATCTCGAACACGCCAATTTTCGACGATTCCACGGGTCTAGTGGAGAAACAGGAGGCAACATTGGCGGCCCTATTGGCCAACATGGAGTTCTTCCAACCCGAGATTGACTCTCTGACCCGCCTCATTGCTGGAGAATTACTAGAGGAGACTCGCGCGATTCTTGGAGATGACAAGGTTGAGGTCATCATTGGGAAACCTCGCCAGGCACTCATTCTCGCGGCTCTGGATGAACGACTGGCATTCTCTGGAGATCAATCGGATGAGGAATCTCTGGACCACTTTATCTCCAGTTGGTTTGATGTCATCTCAGACTTCGCCTTGGAGAACTCCAAGGAGACGGCGCTTCTGAGCTTGATTAAAACCTGGTTCGGGCTCCAGGGTGAACAGACACTGGCTGTTCTTAAGCACGTGAAACGTGTCCAACCTCTCTCCGGAGATTTGAACTCTGAATCAGATGGAACGTGCGCACTGCGCCTCCTACACAAGATTTCTGTTGTTGTGTCCAGCCTCGACATCACACCGTCTAATCTGGAGTGGCTGCTGCAATTTGGGCCAGCACTTGGATGGGGAGACCTTGCAGCTTTCCCAGTCGCCGCAGGGGACATGACTATGGCGTTCGAGAAATGGGATACTTTCCGGAGAGGCTACAGTACTCTCGTGTCAAGCAGCATGGCGCCGGTTGTCGACGCTCAGAACCCAGGGACAACTCTTAGCGTCCAGACGTTCTTTGAAAGCGTTCTGCAGGATAAGGAACTGTCGAACGGAATTGGGTCCAGTCTCGATTACCTGTCTAAACTGACAAAATGGGGCTCTCTGACTGACCTTGAAGGTGTCGCCAATCAGATGCAGCTCGACGTTGGGAACTTGACGTCGCCCCTCGTCTTAACTCGGTTGGAGGAGACATTCCAACTCCTTCGACCATTGCCGTCCGTTTCTTTGGGCATACGTCTTGTCAAGAGAGGGAATCTCAGCTGTAGCGATGTACTCAGCTTGCAGCGCGCCCTCAAACAGAAATATGCTAGTGGTGACTGGCTTCAGGTGCTCCGCAGTATCCAGGACCCCCTGAGAATAAGGAAACGCGACGCTCTGGTGGAATTTTCGCTCAGAACGGGGGTATTCCACCATTCTTTTACCCACGCTCGCCAAATATCAGCCATCCTCGGCATCGATATCGAGGTGGGAACCGAGATTCAGGTGTCAAGGATCATTGAGGCTCATCTCGCCCTTCAGACCTTTGTCCAACGCCTTCAGATGGGACAATTCCTGGCTTTTGCTCCAAACGGGGATCCAGCAATGCACAGTCTGCTAGAGGTTCGGCTGATCCAGGACGATGCATGGGAACAGTGGAACTGGATGTCGCAGTATCGCTTATGGGAGGCGAATCGAAAGGTCTTCCTTTACCCCGAGAACTGGATCGAGCCGGAGCTTCGCGACGACAAGTCAAATCAGTTCAAAAGGTTCGAAGAGAAGCTGAGTTCGGGCGACGTAAGCGATGAGCTGGCGACCGAAGCTGGCGAGCAGCTTGTCAGCGACATTGCCAACATTTCCAAGCCCGACATTGTGTCCGTATTCTATGAAGCCGAGTCAAAGTCGACACATGTCTTTGCTCGACTTGGGGCCGGGGCTGGATCTATTTTCCACCGGCGGCTTTTTGAGGAGAGATACTGGACGCCGTGGGAGCTCGTTGATGTTCCCAGCATCAGCAGTGGGTCTTTCCTGGCATTTGTCCGCAACTCCCGCTTGACGGTAGCATTCACACAGACGGATATTGAGATGGATCCACTGCAAGCTGGGGTGAGCGGTGATGGGGAAACGGGTAAGTTGAGAAAGAGGTTCGCAATTAACCTTGGCATCAGCGAGAAGGATCCCAGGACGGGGAAATGGTCGGCCGAACGCATGTCCAAGCGTTCCGTCTACTGCCCCCCCGGAGGAGCCTTTGTAACGTTTGAGCGATTGGACATCGACGACCTTCTCGTCCTCAACTACTGGAATGTCGGATCCAACTTCGGAGAGTGCATCTCAGTCAGGATGCCCATATTCGACAGCACAACCAGCATGCCGCATACTGGCAAGTTTTATCTGAGCGAGTTTGCTCTGGCGGGTTCTGAGAGTCTGCCGGAGAGGCAAGCCCACGAATACTACACGACAGCTAAAGATTTTCTACCTCGTCCGGATGTCAAAAGGGCGGAATACCTCGACCAGATATTCACCCTGTCGGAGACTCAGGCCACAAACGAGACGGAACCTCTCACCATCGACTCGTTTGGCACATCTGGGCCACATGAGGTTGGAGCTTCCACCACGGCCTTCAACAAGACACACGGGAGCTTTTCTGTCATAATGTCGCCGCAAATTTCCAAGCTTGACTTGCTGGTATGGAGTAACCAGTTTCGCCACCGGCAGACTGGGTTCGAAGGGGGTGCAGCAGATGGGTTGTGGAGGCTCCCAACAGGCTCTATGGTTCCGTTCTTTTACAAAGATAACTCGGGGAGAACCTTTGTCCTGGTGCCAGGCTTCGTATATCGGGACGAGGGGAACCCTGATTTCAGTGTCCAACCTTTCCGTACGACAACAGACGTCTATGAGTTTCTGAGACGTGCCCTGCAACTGGCAGAGAAGTACATCTCCAGGCATCGTCAAGATGAGCTGTCCTCCTTTGACGACATTAGGAGTTTGGTCCAGGACGACCCCGAGTACAACAAGTTTCTTCTTCCAGAATGGACCGATGTCTACGGATTTCGGCATGATGGTGGCGCCATCAACATTGTCCAATTCAAGATGGCCAGCGTGTACCATCCGCTGATGACCCAACTCTCAGAGCAAATGGTCTTTGGCGGCCTAGAGCGTGTCCTGAGCAGATCCAGTCAGCTAATGAGTACGGAATTCAACTTTGATGCCGAGTTTCGACCTTCATTTCGAACCGTGGGATCCTTGCCGGCAGAAGCCATAAACTTTGGTCCACTGGATGCATATTCGAGCTACAACTGGGAGCTTTTTTTCCACGGTCCTTTCATGGCAGCTTGCAAGCTGAGCAGCAACCAGAAATTCAACGAGGCCATGCGGTGGTTCCACTTCATATTCAACCCCAAGGGGGATTCAGTGGACGCCGCAGCGGAAGACGGGATCCCGGCACCCCAGTCCTCATACTGGATGACCAAACCGTTCTACCAAACGTCAGTGTCGGATTACGCGGAGCAGCTCATCAGCAACATTCTCTATAGCACGGCAGAGGATCCCCAAGGAGCAGAGCTCGCGGACAGAATTGTACAATCTATCAGAACTTGGCGAGAGAACCCTTTCAATCCACACGCTATCGCTCGGACTCGTCCTGTTGCATTCCAGATAGCCATCGTGTTGCGTTACATCAGAAATCTCGTGGACTGGGGCGACCATCTCTTCCGACAGCTTACCAGGGAGACTCTTGCTCAGGCGACCTTGCTTTACTCGGCTGCCGATGGTCTCCTTGGTCGGAAGCCCCAGGAAGTCGAGCCTGTATTGAAGCCAGCAACTCGGTCTTTGTACACGCTCTACGGTACCATTGGCCTTTTTGGCAATGCGGTAGTCGACTTTGAGAATGCGATCCCAAACTTGGGCGATATCTCGTCGAACCGGCCTGATGCGCCAGATCCGCTGCTACCCACGTATTTTGGAATCCCACCCAACGACAGTATGCTCCAGTGCTGGGACCTTGTTGCCGACAGGCTGTTCAAAATCCGGAATTCCCTGGATATCAACGGCAATTTCATCTCCCTCCCGCTAACGTCGCCCCCTATCGACCCTGGTGCTCTAGTCAGACGTCTCGCAGCGGGCTCCTCTGTGCAAGCTGCCATTGTGAGTCTCTCCGTGCCGCTATCAAGAAACCGCTTCGCCACTATTGCGGAAATGGCCATGAGTCTTACCGGGCAAGTCGTCTCTCTCGGATCCACTCTTCTCTCCGTCATGGAGAAGAAGGATGGCGAGGCACTGGCAAGATTACGGGCCGGACTGGAAAAAGACGTCCTCAATGCCGTCAAGGCGAGCAAGGCAAATACGATCAAAGCCATTGGCGGGGTGGGCGAGACAGGCGAAAAGAAGGTGAACGGGGAGATACAATCTCTTGAGTTTGCCAAGGTGGTTGCCGAGGATCGGGCAGCCTACTATCGCAACTTGAAGTACACCAACTCCAGGGAAGAGAAAGAGATTTCCAACCGACGCGGGGTTCTTGCCATCCACGCGCTCTCTGAAGGGCTTCACCTATGGCATTCTTTCGTTGCGGGTTGGAGGTTGCCCAAAGCTACTATGGGTGGCCAGGGGTTCTCTTCTCCAGTTGTTGAACTACAATTCGACCCCGTCGCCGACAAGAAAGACATTACAGCAGCAGCCATCGGCACTGCCAATCACCAGGCAACTATCGCTACCTCTGCAGCGACACTCAACGCCCTATTCGCTGGGTTCGATCGACGCAAGGAGGGCTGGGACTTTGAGAAAGCTCAGGCCGAGGCTGAGACAAATCGCCTGACCAACGAGATTGCGACTGCAAAGCTACGTTCTGAGGCAGCAAAGCTTGATCTAGTGGCCCACGAGACAGCGATGGTCAAGTTGGCTGAGGAGGACCACATGATGCGCTCAAAGCACACCAACCAGGAGTTGTACGCATGGGGTATCAACCAGATCACCAAAGTGTACACCGACACCTACGATCTAGCTCTGCGCATGGCCCGGCAGGCCGAAATGGCTTTCGTGTACGAGCTTGCAACTGGCCACAGAGTTGGGGTGGGCTCTTTTGTTAAACCCTCGTACTGGGATAGCCTCAAATCCGGGCTCCTGGCCGGGGAGCAGTTGCAGTTTGACATCGGTCGCATGAAGACGGCCTACTTGGACAACAAAGTTCGGGAATACGAGCTAGAAACCAACATTTCGCTCCAAGAGATCAACCCTATGGCGCTTTTATCATTGAGACAGTCTGGTCAGTGCATCTTCGACGTCCCCGAGGACATTCTCGACATCGATACTCCTGGGCACTATCTACGACGAAACCGCGTCGTGAGGCTCTCCTTGCCTGTCGAGGGGGGTCAAGCTCTACCTATATCCGCCAAGCTGACCTTACTGGCACACCGCTACCGTGCATCGTCGGCTTCAGGCTCCGGCTATGTCGAGAACCCCCCTGGAAACGATCCTCGCTTCAAGTATGGCTCAGGCCAGCCATCACACACTATCGTGACCTCAACGAACACCCTCGACGGCGGCTTCTTCCCCGGCCTTTCCGAAGTTTACCGCCACGGAGCTACCGACGTTCTTTACCTCCCCTTTGAAATGACTGGCGTTGTCGGGACATATCACATTGAGCTGCCTCCTGTTCAGCGCTTCGACTATGCCACCATCACTGATGTAATCCTACACCTAATGTACACAGCGCGTGAAGGCGGTGCTCCATTACGAAATGCCGTGACTAAGCTGCAGGAGGATAGGCTGAACAAATTGGCCCGGGTTTCACAGCAGAATGGCCTCCAGGCAGCTTTCAACATGTCACTTCACGCGCCAACCGCCTGGTTATCGCTGCAAACTGCGCCATCAGTGACGGCAACTGTGCCATCGACAGTGATACCCTTCTGGGCTCGGGCGGGTGGCTTTCTCAGCCAGGTCAAGAAAATTACCTGGTATGCCGAGATCAAGCCCGGAGCCCAGCTGCCATCCTCGATCGAGCTACAACTTCGCGGAACTGAAGTCGTGTCATTGAGCATGGAGAGGGGAGGGAAATCTGGGAGACTTTATAGCGGTATGAGTCATGCCAGTGATGTCCCTCTTGATACCGCTATTGAGATTAGTCTGAATGGAGGGATGAATGCAACCGAGCTGGGTTTGGGGGGTCTAGGGGCTGTTCTGGAGTTTGAGGTGAGCAAGCAAGGAAATACGTAAGGGGTCTCAGAACAAGACGGAACTTTTCTGAATAGTTCTATTTGTTAGTTAATGCATATTCTTTCCTATTCCTTGAATGTGCAAACTGTTTTGTTCAGGAGTGGGCCGAGATACCAGTTATTTCAAAATAGCCGATCACTTGCTCCAGAGTGTCATTACGGTGTACGCATATGCATCCGGCTGTTATAGCTTAACAGAAGATGCTAGCTCTACAGAGACATCTGCGAATCGACTGCTAGCGATACGGAACTTCCCTTTTCATTTCGTCTACCGAAACATACAGCTGTAAATTTCATGGATTCCTGCACTTGTTGAACAGAGCAAGAATTTGCAGACTATGATTCACACTTGTTGATAGAGATAGTATATTATTCATCATGTTGCCACATCGGCTTATAGCTGCGGCCCTAGATTCCTATTCATAACATTTGCCTGTTCTTCATAGGGGTTACCGCCGGGCAGCCCCTACAAAGACATAAGCTGGGAGACATGTAGAGTCAACGCACCATGACCCACGGTCGCCTGTCAAGGCGCTAGTGTCGTCTCTGGTAAAGAAATGGCCCTCTAGGACGGCAAATTCACGCCGCGTGGATGGGCGTCGGCCAGGCCTGCTAATCTGAACCCCGCGCCTCATCCATCGCGAGGGCAATACCGAAGCAGAGCAGTAGCGGCTGTGGACTGTTAGAGTACGATTGCTCTGTGTTTGAACGAGGGTGCTCACACATAGTATTGCGATGCCAATAACATGTGTCTCGAATCCACCAGCTAGTGCTTTGCCCTTGATAAGATATCTCTAGTGTCTGTAGGCTCGGACTGCACCGAGAAGGATCGTTATGATGGCAATCGCAAAATACACTGCTGCCAAGGGCTTCCCGAGCAGAATATGCCTAAACCTGAAATCTTCTCGACTGACTGTGAACAGCTGGGCGACCAGAGTGCCCAGCATAGCCAGAGCCGTTAGCGTCCTGAGATATCCCAGAAATATTCGCTCAACCGCTACACAGGGGAAGAGGGCAATGTCAGCTAGTCATCCGCCAATGAAGGCAGCCCAAACAGAATAGGGCAGTGGCCTATCCACCAAAGCCGGGGCCTCAACTCCAGAGAAGCCATAGCTTTTTTCTCCATTATATTCGCTTGGAAGCAGAGCAAAGGCTTGACTAGTGAGTTATGCAATGACATAACGCTAATGGCTGGTCGACGGCCAGCAACATCTGATTGCTGCTCAGTTTCGACACGAAGCGGGGCTGCAACAAGCGTCAATTTGGCAGGTCAATACAAATCCCGGAAAGCCATCTGCACCCAAGAAACCAGCGAGGGGTAAATTAAGTATCGAGCGACTTCGGGACATGCTTTGTCAATACCAGACACCCAGGTAACAAGAAGAATAATGATCATGGACTTGAGAACGAGCGGCGAAATCAATACGTAGGCAATCAGCATCGCCAGTTGACTCTACTTGATAGGGAAAGAAGACATTCTTCCCACGTACCTAGATGGTCTCGGCACGCCGAAAAATCGACCGTGCAGCTTATATGCGTGGTCCAGATCCTTGCTAATCGAGAGAAGCATTGGAATATGGGGTTCTAACCGGCTTGAGCATCCTCGCTTCCCGGGACAGCGGTCCCAGTATCACGGGCATCTCGGGGTGCCTCGCGTCCAGAGAGGGAGAAAGGTGATGTGTGGTACTCAGCTGCGGATAAGCGATGTGAGCTGGTCGTATAAACGCGATGCGGAAACTGCTCCAGTGGGATGTCCGTGCCGCCGGGGACGGGATGATCAGAAGACTTCCTACCAGACGCCTACATGGCGCAATGCCGCGGCTCTGGATGGCCTCGTTCGCGCAGCAAGCCAATCTTGCAATATGTGTCAGAAGGCCAGAAGTCCTGCACGAGTGTCTAGCAAGAAGCACTAGTTGTAATGGGATCGGAAGATTAGCGGACCCACGGCGCCGCCTTGTTGGACATGTTCCGAGCCGGGCGTGCAGCGTTGCAGTGGCCACAGGGCCAGAATAAGAAATGATAAGCAATGGAAAGTCGAGAGTTGTCGATCCGTTTCATGGATGGCTCTGACTAATGGTTCGCAACACTACGTGTCAGGCAGCTACTACAGCCCTGCAATACCCTCCTAGATCCCGAGGCCGCGATTCACCCCATGTCGCCGGGCTCTAAACTGTTCTCAACAGCTAGAAGACTAAGACTGTCGAACGCATAGTTGCGTCCTGACGGGCTGTTTCTGATGTGCAGCCGGGGTGGGGATGGCAGTGCCAACCGCAGTTCCGTCCACTAATGCTGTGCCTTTCCCTTGGGCTACGCTGTCGGATACTTGGAGGCTGAGCTGTCACGACTTTTGGCATGCGCACGATAGGCTCCTTTCTATATCTGGGGAGAGCGGCTGCGGCGCAGCATCGTACTTCTCGTATTGAGCTTCTCGTATTGAGAATCTGGACGCCAAACAAAACTTGGACTCGCGACAACGAATTGGACGCAATGGCGCCTGCTCCCTTTCTTCATCGGTCTTTACGCTCCTCTGCTTCTTCTCCGGCCTATTCGCCGCCTGTTGCATGCTCGATTCTGACATGAAGGTTAAGTCGGCCGCAAGATCACACGATTCCTCCGCTTAGGCCGCGTTGCTTCTCCTGGCCTCGCGGTCGCTTTCTTCCTTATACTTAGCACTGCATGGTACGCAGGCGGCGTATGTCTTCTTGGTTCCCTTACTTCCTTCATTAGAAGCGAAGCTGACAAGCCAAAATGTGCAGTCCTTTAGCCAGTCCTTAGCCCTCCCCTACTACTATCTTCGAGAACCCTATCGACCATGTCCTGTTTCACCCTTAGTCCCGCCTCCACACATCCCCTCCAACCGCAACTCCTCTTCGAGGCTGCATTACCTCGTTCCCGCTATGCAGAGCAAAGATAGCGTTCGCGCGAGCATTGCCTCCGCTCTTCTACCGTTATCCCGTTTCAGTCCTCCTCAGCTAGAAGGGCAAGGGCGAATATAACGCCAAAAACCATCTTGAAAAGCTGCGAGTCGTCTCGCAATACCTTCATAGCCTCAACAATGCCCCCAACGACGATCTTGTTATCGTTGTTAATGCTTTCAACATTATCGCTTAGAACCCCGTCGAGGCTACTATCCAGCTTTACTTCAATCTCATGCGCTCAGCGAATGAACGCCTCGCCGCCCGACACAGTCTGACTGCCGAGGAGGCCCGCGCCAGCGGGCTATATCAAAGTCTGCTCTGAGGGGCAGAGAAGGGTTGTTTCCCGCCCATGTTTCATGAGCTACAATGCTGGCTGGTCCCAGAGTCTGACGCGCCGCACAACCAATGGGGTCCCAAGATAACTACAAGAGAACCGTAATAGATCTTATTAATTCAATAAAAGTTAATAAATAGATCTAGGAAGAAAAGCGCACGAAGAGGCGCCCTTAGCTACCGAGTGTCACAGCTGGTCAAGAGCGGGGACCCACCCTGCACCTGGCAGTCACGTGAACTCGCGCCTGCCTTTGCATTTTATCGCGATCCCGACCGTCTTCTGTTATAGCTCTTCGAGCTACGTCTTATACATAGAGCCTGCCCTACCTAAGGAGTGCCTATCCGTAGTAATAGACTAGATTAGCTTAACCGAGTGTTCCCTGTCTTACCTACCGACCGACCCCCCCTTAATATTATATAGCTCCTACCTATAGGACGCTAAATACGATAACCTCCCGCCCGACGCCTCTAGAGTTACCTTAGGATACGCGCGCTTTCGTAAATACCGTAGCTAGTAACCTTTCTAAATAGTTTTACTTTTATTAATAAGTATATACTTATATAGAATCCTAAGATACCTAGATTACGAACCTTATTAATTATATAGCTATATTAGATAAGAAAACAGCTACCCTCGAAACCAAGATTATTAAGGAGAGCGCGGCTAACCGGAACTTTCTTACTTAAATAAAGGATAAGGATATATAGATTATTAAGGTAACCGTAACCGCCCGACTCGCCTAATAAGCTAGCTTATTAACTATATAAGTAATTATTTTAAAGGCTTTAGGAACCCCCCCCCTACTAAAGAGATTATAGCTCCTTACTTAATAATAACTCCGCTACTTACTACCGGATCTATTACCTCCTCCTAACTATCTAAGAAGCTTCCCGACCTTAATAAGTTTAAAGAATCCCGCTTTAATCTCCGCTATTTCTTATATTAAATCTACGTAAAAATAATAACTAACGCCGACCGATTCCCTACCGCTACGAGCCGGTTAATATATATAGCCGGTAGGCTTACCGGGAAAGTATATACCTTAATACTCCCCCGTACTATCTTTAGAATCCTATAGTTTAGCGATTACCCCGAACTCCTAACTTATCTTAAAAACGCGTTCGGCGACCCTAACCGCGTCTAGAACGCCTAGAACCGCCTATACTAACTCCGCTAAAAGTACTAAGACTTTAGTACGTATTTCTCGGAGTTCTAACGCCTTATTTTAGAGGGAGAAATAACTAATAGTAATCTAATGCTATTACTATTCTAAGGAATATCCCATGAACTATAAGATATATTACTTTATAACCCGCCCCTTAGCCGGGAGTTTTACTAATACGCTAACTACCTATAGACTTTAGATAACTAATACCGCTAATACTAGTAATAAATCTAACGTAGCTAACCCCCGAGACCGGCTCTATACTAAAACCAGAGATAAACCTCCCCGCGTAGGGGACATAGTCCTCCGAACCGCAGCCCTTCACGCCGCACGGTACCCGCCGCTATAACCGCTAACGACCCTATAGACCTAAGTAACTAACGCCGACTATAGGGCCCGAACCGGAGGGAAAATAACCTCTGCTTCCGCTATAGCTCCGATAGTTACTATATTCGAGATTACCGGAAGCTAGACACTAGACTGTGACGTTCGGGTCTAGACTAGCTACCGGGTAGATAGAATAGAAGTCGATTGTTGAACTGAGTATACTAGGATATTATTGACTTAAGCGGTCGGGTTATAGT